TATATAGTTAAGTAGAATACTTAATATTAAAAAAGAAAATAACTTTAAAATAAATAAATTATACTATTAAAATCTATAGAATATAAAATAATACTAAAAATATTCTAAATTAATACTAAATTCTACTAATTCTAGATATATATATTTATAAGATTATAGATACTAGTACTAATTATAGTTAAGAGTCTATTACTTCTTTAATTAATATACTAAATTATTACTAAAATAATATTTTTATAAAAAGATTTAATTAAATCTATCTAAAGACTATAATTATTATTAATTACTTTAAGATAGTAAAGAAAATTAGTATTTTTTAATTAACTAAAAATAATATTAATTTCTTTTTATTTAAAAATTACTTTTAAATAAATAATCTTAACTTTAGTATTAGCTCTCTTTTTATTAAGAAAATTATACTAACTATTATACTAAGTAAGAATATAAGAGAATAATCTTTCTAAAAAATAAAAATCTTAAATTATAGTTAATTAGATAGTAAAACCCTAAATAATCTAGATATTAGTAATAGAAAAAATAACTATAACTACTATACTACTATTTATAACTCTAATAAATATAGGTCTCTCTATTATAGTAACTCTTTTAACTTAATAGAGTATCTTAATAAAAATTTATATATTTCTATATATTAATCTAGAAATCTAAGTTAATTAGTAGTTAAATTACTACTAAAAAAAATTACTTATAGTCTAATATATATAATTCTTCTTTAAATTACTATAATAAATATAATATATTAAAGTATCTTAATTAAAAATATAATTATTATTAATTATCTTACTAATCTTTTATAGACTAATAATATAGTTAAAGTATTTTTAATAAAAACTATATATAGACTTTTAAAGATAAGATATTATAATACTATCTCTTTAGATAAGTTTTAGTTTTACTAGAATTTTAGTCTAAATAGTAGTCTCTTTCTTTCTAGTTATAGTTTAAGTTTTTATAATTTTTTAAACTTTTTCTTTTTTTTATTATAGTTTCTAATAGTTCTTACTAGTATAATAGTTTTCTATATCTAAAAAATATAAATTTTAATTAAAGAAAAATAAATTTTATTATTATTCTTATTCTTATACCTATCTTTCTTATCTATATCTTTATTCTCTTCTTTTTTCTCTATTTTCTTAGAACTATTAGTCTCTAAAACTAACTCTTCTTTAATACTACTTTAAATTAATCTTAGATAGTTATCTCTATATTATCTAGTATAAAGTATACTAAATATAGAGAATAAAAGTATTTTATAAATTAAATTATAAAAAAGATTTCTAGATTTTTTTTTCTCTCTCTTAGAAAAATTTTTAACTAATTTTTATCTTTACTTAGATTAAAGAAATATCTTAAGTCTAAGAAATAAAATTTTTCTTTAATAGTTTTCTAGATTTTTTTTATTTAAATTATAAGTTTTCTTTATCTTTAAATAAGATTTTCTTTTAAAAATCTATTTTAGTTTCTTTTCTCTTAAAATATCTTTAAGAATACTTTTCTTAATAGTTTCTAGGATTCTTTTTATAGTAAGTTTTCTAATTTTCTTCTATTTTATCTTATATAAAATTTTCTAATTTAAAATACTATTAGATAGATTTTAATAGATATTATTTAGTTAAGTTATTACTCTAAGAATTATATCTCTTTAACTATAAATATTTAAGATTAGACTTTATTAGAAGAAGAGATAGTTATTATAGAGTTTATATTAAAGAGAGTAAACTTTAGTAAAAAGTAACTAACTCTTTTTATATTTCTCTTAGATAATCTAATCTTATCTTAGCTATACTAAAGATTTATATCTTATTTAATATTAATTTATACCTAATCTATATAATAGTTAGGATAAGTAACTTAATATAGTATTTTCTTTATTCTTAAAGTTTCTTTAAGAATTAGTCTCTATTACTACTTATATATATTATTAGTTAATTCTCCTACTCTTTAATTACTATCCAAAGTCTTACTTAGTTATAGATCTCTAGCCTATCCCTTAGTATTTACTATTATATTATTATAGGTCTATCTTCTATATAGATTAAGGGAAAACTTATAGATATAATTTTAGTAGTTATTAATTATCTTATAAAATATAGTTAATTTTTTACTATTTCTACTATAACTATTACTAGAGAACTAACTAAACTCTTTTATTCTAAGATAGAGTTTAAATATAGTGATTCTAAAGAGATTATCTTTAATAGAGAATTAGTATTTACTAGTAAGTTCTAGTTAAAGTTTTATTATCATTCTTAGATAAAACTTTATTTTTTAACCATCTTCTATTCTTAGATAGATAGTTAGATAAAATAAATAAATTAAGTCTTAGAAAACTATCTCTACTATTTTATTAATAGATAAAGAATAAATTAGCTTTAACTACTAAAAATAACTTAGTTTATAAGAAGAATTATAATAAATAATATAAAGAGAAGATTTTCTAAAAAAAAGATCTAGTAATACTATTAACTAATATCCTTTACAAAATAGTATAATCAGAATAGTATACTCCATGATTAATACTACTAATTTGTATTGGATCTGATCTATCTTAACATGATCTAAGGTTTTCCCGTTATATATTATTATAAAAGGATATGCCTAAGATTATATAATATTTCAACAGTCTAAAAGACTATAATACTAAAGCTCTTACTTTAAGATTCTTAGGTAGTATATAATCTAAGAACTATAGATTTTTGTAAGGGATCCCCCTATATCTAGGTAGTTACTTATATATAGATAGTTATAATATAGGTTTCTTTCTTTCTTTCTTTTCTTAGTTTAATATTTTTGTTTAATTTTACTACTATCACTCTGTATCTAAGTCCTTATAATCTTTTAATTAAGTAGGTTTCTCCCTAGTCTCCATAGAGGAGTTTGACTATATTAAGGTAGAACATAAGGTTAGTTTTACTAGTTTATTTCTGTATAGAGGCTTGGACTGTAATAACAAATAATTCATAAAGCTAAAATAAGATTAGATTATTCAAGAATATTATAAAATAGAGTAATTACCTCTAATTGAAATAATACTCTATCTAATAGATTTTAAAGTGTTTATTTTCTCTCCTAGTAAAGTTTAATCCTAAGTTTCTTTTATATATACCTAGGCATGTGAAGAATGTCATTCTTCCCCTTGCAGAGTGTTGCTGCTGCTTATACACTCTTTTCTGCTATAGTTCGCGTCGCCGATAGCTCCACAGGTTCCCGCGTTGATTCCAGCTCCATAGGCTGAACCATACTTGACGAGAAATTCAAGTTTCCGTTCGGGTATCGCCCCAGACTCGGCTGGGGGGTATTATTTGGATCCATGCCCTGTTCTGTCTGAATTAAGCGTGGTGCAGTCTTTCGATGAATCCATGCATTGATCTTCGTTCGGTTCCAAACCAGGGAGACGATGACGATGAAAGTGACCACGGCCACCACAATGCCCGCAATCGTTCCTCCGGATAAGCTATTACCACTGTTATTGGATGAAGATGGAGTGGCTGATGCAGTCGTTGCAGCTCTTGTCGATACAGAATTACTGCTCGTAGATGTCATCTAAAGGCAAACATGTTCCACGTCAGCTGCCATCGAGAGCGATAGCCAAAAACAGGTACTCTAAAAATTTTTACCGAAACATATTCTAGTCCAAACCCATTGATCGCATCGAAATGGGGGGTGAAAGTCACTGTCGCCGTCTCCGATTTATGGGAGTCTCCAAAAACCGAGGTCTGTGTGACTTCTGCAGTATACGAGCTTGAGAACCTCTCTTCGCAACTCAAAGTGAGTGAACTGTAAACTTTTGCGCTGCTAGCACAGGTCATGGGTCGATGGCTAATTATATGGTCAGTTCAACATAGTAAAGTGGGCTACAATCGTGAGGGTGGCTAACGTCGGGCAGCACACAGTTGTCGCGTCGTCGAGACCATGGGCACAGGCTGAGGTATAACCAGTCGGACATGAGACAGCATAGTAAGGTATGGTTGGAGTATAACCAGAGGGTGCACAATCAGAGGTTGCAGTGAGGGGACCGAGATTGAAAAAGACCGCGCTCGTAGTCAGATAAATTTCCCAAAGATCGGTTGAAGCTGGACAGCTTATTGGAGACCACGTTGAGGCGAGAGTTTGGGTGGGCATTTTCTCTTGTCACCCCCTGACAAAATAAACGAGGAAAAATAATTCTTAAACCGCTCTGGAAGATCAAGCGGCCAGTTGTTTATATTTGTTCGCCTCTTTCTGTTAAGCGCTCGTATGTGGGGGCCGCAGCAGGGGTTGTATCCACACATAGTTGGTTGATACGCATACACTGCCTGGCCAGTGTGAATGCGATGCATTAGCGTGCATGGTGGCGGCGCTAGAAATATTACAATCTGAAAGCAGTCAAATTGACATGCAAATCCTCTTACAGTTTAATCAGTACCGATAAAACCAAATTGCCATACATCAATTGCGTTCTGGACTGGAGAGTCAGTATATTTTTGGCCAGGCAGTGTGAATACACCTATATTTCGATAGCTTAATCTCCTTGTATCTGATTCCTGATAGAGGGAATACCTACATAGCTATTATGTTCAGAAGTATGGCTGAGTTAAATCAACAGAATCTTGAATTGAATTATGATCATCTACGCTTCGGAACATCTTTTGATTTGTCAAAATGCTATTGCCATCAACCCCTCGGCATTTCTATCGATATTTAAACGGCCAGCCCCACTAAAGGGCGGGGTCCAAGGCAGTTCAGAGCCTTTTAAATTGACCGCCACGATTAATTCAATACTCAGCTCTTTGAGCTTAGAGGAGAAGGTAAGAATAACTTGCACCTTGAAACTAGAAGGACCGAATCCCACACATTTAGGTCTCACTTCTTGCTAGACACACATTCTCCGACACCGCTAGCATACCAGAAAAGGGGGTTCCATCAATAAGGGTGAGTGAAAACAAATGCTTAATCTATATTCATCCACTTACGAACTTGATAGACAGCAGATAGCCCTAATGGAATTCGCGCCCCAGCCACAAGTCCAGGTGTGCGCTCGGCGTGTTTCCCAGCAGCCAGTAGTTTGGCGGCCAGTTTTGATCTCGACCTAGCGAGGCGGTTTGGAGAGGCGCTGGGAGAAGAAGCCAGAGCAAAAAGTTTAAACTGTGTCCTGGGTCCCACTGTCTGCATTCACCGTCATCCATTGGGAGGCCGGAACTGAGAATTTCAGCGAATACCCTCTGCTTGCAGGCCGGCTAGCTTCGCAAGTGATACAAGGTGTACAGCACCAGAATGTTGCAGCAACCATAAAGCATTTTTTTGCTAATGAGCAGCAGACCCAGGGAACCTCTGTCAATGAGACAATCAGTGAACGCGCGTTGAGAGAGATTTATCTCCGCCCATTTGAGATCGCCATCAAAGAGGCCAACCCTTGGGCGGTCATGGCGGCCTATAACTCAGTCAATGTGACTCATCGTGACTCCCATGGGCTAATAAACAAGAGTTTACGCGGAATTTAGGGATGGGAGGGCCTTCTTATGAGTGACTGGGGTGGGACTAACTCGGTGGACGACGCTCTTATGGCCCGTCTTGACCGGGAAATGCCAGGGCCACCCAGAGTACGCGAATTACACCGTGTCCTTGAGTCAATACAAAAGGGGTAAATCTCAAATGATACGATCGATGACCGAGTACGTGAAGTTCTGTGTCTGGGTTTGAAGCTCGAAGACCTTTGGAAAGATGTCGAACCAATCGAAGAGAAAGTCCACCCAAAGTGTCAAAAGTTGATACGTGAAGCTGGTGCGCGAAGTATCGTGCTTTTAAAGAACGATCAAGACATTCTACCTTTATCTCATGAGAAAACTAAAGGGAAGAAAATTGCGCTGATTGGATACGCGAAAAATGCCCTTGCTCATGGAGGTGGAAGTGCCAGTGTCAATGCGCACTACAAGGTCACCCCTGAGGATGGCCAAACAACTGCTTTCGGGGATGAAGTTGAATTCTCCTATGCAAAGGGTGCCCATTTTGAACGTTTGTTTCCACCACTTCCCCTAGAAGGTTTATTTGGCAGGGTGGTTGGCCTGGACGGTGCTTCTGGTTTCACATACAAGCTTTTTGATGAGCTACAGAAGAGCTGGTTTTGACAAGACATAGACGTTCATTTTCTATTTGTTCATCACTTGGCTCTAACGAGTCTCATGGTAAGGTTGTTGAGATCATTGGCGACTTCACACCGCTTGAGACGGGGCCTCACTACATCGCGAGCTCAGGATTTGGACCCACTCGGGTTTTTATCAACGACGAAAAGGTTCTTGAGCAGAGGAGTAATACTGCGGACCCCATGGGCTCTCTTTTTAATGCTAACCCCCCGAGCCCGAATCGCGGTATCATTTTGTGGTTGGCCGGACGCACCGTATCCGCCTGCGCACCGAGCCACCAAGAAACATTGGCTTACAGATCTTGAAAGGACGCAGTGGGGGTCGACTTGGATTCTCGCCTGAATCCATTCATGATGCGGATTTGAAAACTGAGGCTGCACAGGTGGCAGCGAAAGCAGACTTCGCAATCGTCTTCACAGATCACCACACCCACTGGGAGACTGAGGGGCAGGACCAGGCTTCTTTTCATCTACCTCATGATCAAGATGATCTAATCTCTGCTGTTGCTGATGTGAATAGCAATGTTATCGTCGTCAATTCAACAGGCGTCGCGGTAGCTATGCCATGGCTCCATCAGGTGAAAGCTGTAATACAGTCCTGGTTTCTTGGTCAGGAATGCGGAAACGCAATCGCTGATGTTTTGACCGGTGCCGTGAACCCCGAGGGTCATCTTCCTGTTAGCTTCCCTCGCTTTATTGAAGATGCTCCGGCCCACGACAATTTCCCAGGAACCTATGTTGATGACCAGCTTCGAGTCAACTATGCGGAGGGAATTTTTGTCGGCTACCGTCATTACGACAGACTATTCACCGACGTTCTGAATTCTTCATTCGGCCATGGACTGTCCTATACAAAATTCGGCTTCCGGGATTTGAAGGTGGGGCAAATCAACAAGGAAAAGCTGACTGTATCGATCCAGGTAATAAACCTCGGGCTTACGTCTGTACGGGCTTTGGTTCAGCTCTATTTGGGCCGAAAAGACCATGCGAATGAGCATCCTATCCCAACCTTGGCTGGTTTCCAACAGGTCTGGGTCGAAGTGGGGGTGCAAGTGACTGCAGAGCTCTGTATCGATTTAAGGGATATATCACTTTATGACGAGAAGCGGAACGCTGGAAAATTGACGGAGTGGATATCAATTGCAACTGGAATCGTCCTCGGCGGATATTTTGGAAACAACAGATGTCTCATTGCTAGAGAGCTTTTGGGACTTGTGAAATGCCACCGGGCTCTAAGGCTACCATGAGAGCAATATACTATGTGCAACTTGAGACATTTCGCCGCAGCTAATAATTCCCATACTCCGTGTGGCCGAGTAGGTGATTTTGTCGAATTGAGCCCATTTTTTCGTATATTTAGGTGGAATTATAGATATCTGTTGGGGGAATCTCCTTAGGAGCTCTAGACCAGATCAGCAACAGATTGATAATATTGAGTTTTTTATTGACCTTTGTCAATGCGTAAACACAAGTCAAAACATGAAGCTTCCAGGCCGAAGACCCACCTAATAGCGATAGGCTTTCACGGAGTTGCCTCAAGGTGCGGGAGGTGTGGAGTTGTGGGGTGCTCAGCCCCCCGGAAGTGTCGGCTACAAAGAGACCTACGCAGTACATCTACGGGTAAACTTCGGGATACTTGACTACCCAACTAGAATAACCCGGCATTGTAGAGTTAAAATCGCGGTTGAAGTATTGATCCGTCGCATTCGAAATACTCGAAACCCTTTCCAGGATTCTGCTCAAAGGCATCACAATTCGTAAAGCGTTTATCCAGCCTCAAGTTTCGCTGTCTTCTCCCAATACCGCTACTTCGAAGTCGCCAAATAATTTTGCTCCCTCTCCATGACTAATAACGAGCTTCCCGTTATCCGATGGGCTTTTCCTGGCACTGGCATTATCTCGTCATGGCTCAATTGATCGAGCGAACAAAAGGGCAAACCACACCATCCAAGCCATTGGTTCCTGATCGGTAAACAAGGTCCAGGAATTTGCAAGTCGACATGCGCCTGACCATAACCCGAGCATCTACGAAAGTTATGAAGAGATATACAGTGATACAAACATTGAAAGTGTTTATACGGGAACGCCCCATGCCTTCCACAAACAAAATGCTCTTGATGCCATCCAGGCAGGAAACACGTGTTGTGCGAAAAGGCATTCACTTTGAATGAACGAGAGACTAAAGAAGTATTTGCGGAAGCAAAAAGGCACAATATAGTCATGATGGAAGCAATGTGGACTCAATTCTTCCCCTTAAGGCAGAAGTTGCGTCAACTTGTCTATGTGAATAAAACAATTGGTGGCGGGCATCGAGTTTGGTATGACTTTGGTTTGCCTAAAGACATTGTCTCCTTGCCGATGACTTTACGTTACAAGAACCCAGCGCTTGGGGTTGGCAGCTTACTCGAAATCTGAATCTACAATTTGACTTGGGTGATATTGGCTCTAGAATCCAATCTACGGATGGAGGCGCCTCAAGTCCTTGCGACGGAAAAAATTGTGGATCATGTTGATGTTGCAACCTCTGTCTTCTTAAAATATACCGATGGAAGAAAAGGAGTTGCTACCGGCACTTTCGCAAGTAAGAACCCCGCCGAATTTTGTCCCATTGAAGGAACAATTGAGTCGATTGTGGTTGAGGGAATCGCTGCGTTGGTTCCTGCATCCTTTACAGTTCAACTGGCGAATGAGGAGCCTCAAAATTATAAATTTGAACGGACAGGCTGAGGTTTCTATTGGGAAGCTGATGAATCGTCATTTACATGGCAGCTGGAAAAACGGAGGATGATATCATGCCATGGGCTGAGACAATCCGCGTGATGCATCTTCTAGATGAGATCCAGGTTCAGGGAGGCTCAGAATTCCCGCAAGACTATACCAGCCTATTCAAAATACGCGTATGTCATATATTTTTACAACATAAAATGGAACTCGTAAACGAGTTTAAATCCAATCCATGTGTAGATTTAACCACATCTTCTGTTGTGGGACTATCTGTAATACTTCTGTCACCTTTCGTACTCGATAACATTATTTTAGTATCTATAGATAGCCGCCCGAGCTCTCCTACAAAACCACGATGAGCAGGGACTTTTCAATTATGAGCTTCTTGCTATGCAATTCGCGCAATGCTAATTAAACCTGCGGCTATTTATGACATCCGATCAGATCGGATCTTGTAATGGTTGGTTAATTCGTCTGCGCACTAGTCCGAGTCGATCTGCTTCCAGACATCCTCCCTTCCCCACCGCACTAGATATACCTTCATTGGGCAGTCGACACCCTATAAGACCTATCAACGATGATTGAACACCAGGAGGAGGAGAGGAGTTTGATGTATTATCTTGCAGAAATAACAATTCGCAGGATCTGAATCGTGCATATGTTAAAGGGAATCACATAGTTGTATCATACTATATACCCGGAAAAGGTGTATAGTATAGGTGGTTACTACTGTACTTAAGACTCTGCAGTAACTCTGCCCCTAAACAACTGTAAACTTAAAATAGACCAATAAATTAGAAACAATAATTTGCAATAATAGATATTATGACCCATTTCATAGTGGCTACTGACTCAAAAAGGAGAAGCCAGATTGTCGGTAGTCCAGCATGTGGTTACAACGTGGCCTCTCCGCCCGGTGTTAAGTCCGATCCGCGATAACCTCAATCTGTCACCAACCCCAACTCTCCCATCTCCAATCTACTTTACTCCGTACCACCCCTCAATCACATCCACTACACAATGGTAAGTCGAAACAAAAAGTCTCGATAAAGCTTCAACTAACTTCGCTCTAGGCCCAAACACCCCAACAACGACGCGCAAACGATCGTTTCGCGAGGAGCGAGGCAGCCAAGCGCGGTCGAGGACCGACCACAAAGGCCCCCAAGCAGAATACTAAATCACCCCTCTCTGCGGGTTGGGTTGGTATGTGTGGTCTCAACCAAAATAGGGACCTCCAGCTAGTTTTAACACTGTCAATAGTTGTTCTTGCCTTTGTCGTCTGCGGTGGTCTCCTCCTGGAGCTTCTCAAGGTTGTCCCCGAGCTCTGGTCAACCATCGCCGCCATGTTCTCGCGCATCACTGGATAAACGCACCAATGGTGATCGCCTCGATTTAAAAGATACCCCAAACACTCCCACGAAACGGACTCGACCTCAACCCCAACCTCACAACCCTCGGTGCTGTTCCTCTACTCTCAACCCCCTATCGCGACTGCGCGCAATCGTTCCGCTCTCCGTCCCCGACGTCACTCGACGAATCCAATTCGGCCCTCCCAATAACGAATCGAACCGTCGAGAATAACGACATACGGAACAGACTAGACAGATGGAACAGATATGTGAAAGCGTGAAGTTGCCCTACGGGAACCGAGAAATTGTATTATATGTCCAAGTTCCAAACAATCCTATCTTTGAGGTTCATGTTCAGACGTTCTCTTTTTCCTCCGTTTCTTCTTCTCCTTGTCCTCGGGTTCACCCCCATCCAGCACCGTAGCCTTGGCCGCCTTCTTACTCTTCTTTTTCTTTTTCACCAGCTCCCCCTCGGCCGGTGTTCCTTCTAACCCAATTCGCTCCGAGGCCCGCTGCATGCGCAGACGCACTTGTTCTACGTTCTGCATTGCTTCCTTCATCTCCTTATCCCCGTCATCTCCCAGAGAGATGAGCCCGGGCTGGGACTGGGACTGGGCCTGTTGATACTCACTTCTTTCCAGAGTGCTGGAATCCACTTGAAGTAAACCCCGCCTGTTGCTGCCAGCACCAGCATTACCCCTCGGGGAAGAAGAAAGATCTTCAACGCCTAACGTTTCATCAGCCGCAACCTCCATTCGTCTGGACTGGTGTCTCCGGACTTCAGGTTCACGACTCGCAAGGCCCTTCGCCCCGTCCTCAAGTTTCAAATCGATGATGGGAATATTGTCGATATCCAGACCGCCTTCATGAGGGACCCCAGGCGTAGATGTGCCAGATGAGTTATTCCCCCCGAGCGAAGCAATATAGAACGGATCATTTTGATAGCGTTCCCGGCGTTCAGCCTTATGCGCGCCACTACCCGCCGAGACATTTTGATACGAGTTGTCGAGGTAGCTCGCAGCGCTCAAGTCATGAATAGGCTTATTCGCCAAAGCAGGCGGAGAAGATGCGGCAACGTAATAAAAGTCCTGCAGCCCGCCGTGAGAATGGATATCGGACATCGAACCATCAAGCCGATCGAATAAACCCGGCAGATTATCGTTAAAAGGCTCATCCAATCGTAGACTCGCAGAGAGAACGACCTTCTTCTGAGCATTGAGTGCAACGGGCTTCAGCTCCAGACCCATGAATAAGCTCGGAATGACCGAGGAGAGAAAGAACGGGACTTCGCTCGTCTCTGTATCAGAGCGCAATGCATCCGCGCCCAAACGAAGCACTTCCAGAAATTCAATCGCTCGTTCTTGAACGTCCAGGTCCGGGTGTGCAGCCACTGACTCGAGGAATTCAACAACGCGAGCTAGGAGGAGAGACATTTCGCTCTTCCAGCTATCTCGGGACTCACAGTCTCTATTAGCCTGTATAAAGACCTTGGGAATCGCCTGCAGGAATAATTGCAGAGTCTTGGCAGGCAAAGAGACATTACCCCCATCGATCAACGACTGCAACGTCCGACTAGGGCTTCGAAGATATTCTGCGTATTCACCCACGACCCAAGAAACAGGGCCAAGGACATCGTCACCCACACTCGAGCCGACAGGGAAGAGGAGTGGGCGGTTATCAATCAGCAACAGGGACTCAGCAGCCCTGCACGCTTCCATCCGTACCCCCTTGACACGAACCGCGATGTTACGAATCTCCGAGCCAATGCGGAACGCCGCAGACGTTTTGACGGACGAAGACTCTTGACTTTGACCAGACTGGGGTGCGTTCCAGTAGTCATCCATTTCCGCAAGTGGAAGAAGACCAACGAGCTGGACCAGAATATTAACATACCACTCGAAGTCCTCGACTTCAGAGTAATTGCTCTGCGAGCAAATGTCCAGAATGCGGTGTACGACTTCGGTGCGATAGTCGTTCGGTAGGACCTTTGCGGTCTCTGTGCTGGCGGGTCCGTTTTTTTCTTCAAAATCCTCATCTGCGACCCCGGATGGGTCTGCTGAAGCCGAGAGCGGGGCGAACCGAAGTTGCTCGACGAGACGATTGACCACTTCCTGAAGGGTATCGCTGGTGACCATCCCCGCAGCAAGCTCCAATGCCTGCAGTCGAATTGATATATCCGCATCATCTAGACACTCCATGATGACATCCTGTTGGACTGATACTAATGAAGGATGTGTTGTCACGATCCGATTTAATGCGAGGAGAGCAACGTATTTAACTAAATTATGAGAATGATAAGATATCGAGCAATTGAAGCAGGGGGGTATGAGGATGGGAGCACTCACGGTTGGGATCCGAGTCTATGACAATCATGCCGCGAAGTTTGCCGACGCAAAGACTTGCAACCTCATCTCTTTCTTGCAGGTTGTCTTCCCCATCGAGGATGCCACCTTGAATAATGCCATTGATACATTCATATAGCAATGACATGGCCGATGTAGTTTGAATAATATTGGTTAGTGGTCGTAGAAGCTTTCGTGTTAGTCGCGGCTCCAAGGGTGTCAAAGTTGCAAACTGTTTAGAAGAGGTCAGACAAAGCCTCCCCCCGCAAAGAAAACTCCGGGAGAATGGTGTAGCATGTGACTTACTAATTTGATGATCTTGATAGCCATCCAATTATTGCCGCTATCCACGAGAAGCTCGAAAAGCCGCGGAGCTAAAGGGAGAAAATCATGCGGGCGTCGCCATCCAAGTTCGCATACAACGTTGATCGCAGCAGTGGTAACACTAGCATCTTCTTGATCGTCCATAAGATGGTCTTTAATTCTCGGCCAAGCCAGCTTCAACGCCTCTGGATAAACCAGCGAAATTCTGTAGAGCGTAACGATTGTCTTTTTGCGGACCACGGGGCTGGAATGCGAAAGGCGAGATAAGATATCAGGAAGCAGAGACATCGAAAGTGATGGGGTGATGATATGTGGCAGCGTAGCCAGTGGTAATGACAATGCGGGGATATTGGGCGACACGATATCCTTGCAAATGAGTGAGCCAAGATGACACTTTAGAAAGAAATTCGAAACGATATTAGGGGCATACCTTTTTGAGCATGTTCGTCGCCAACATTAGAACCTCTGTATCCGGCCTGAAGCTCTGGACAGCTCCGAGGTAACCGACTCGTTTCTGTAGATATTTTGCCGATGACATGACCTCCAGAACATTGAAAGCCGCCCATGACATATCGTAACCAAACATCTCGAGATATATAAGCTTCAGTAGAGCCGTGGCCTTTTTATCTGCACGTAGAATGTATATTCAGTATACTTGTGGCGGTCGGGGGGAGCGGGACACAGTGGCGCCTACCCATGTCCTGTGATTTGACTTCGGCCTTGCATTCGCGCAAGGCATTCTGAATGTATTCATCTTCCGCGCCTTTATGGTTCCGAAGACCCTTGATCAGGTCATAGAGGGATTTCTCGAACCTAGAGATTGATCAGAGCCATGTTAGCACCCTCCAACTGAACAGGAACCGACAATTGATGCCGATGCCGATCTAGCCATACTCACATGGTGTAATTTATCACCCGCGAGGGAGCGCGAGTCTTAAGTGTGCAAGCCTCACAATATTTGCAAAGGGTTCTCCCCAGAGCAAGCAGGTGTCGTCAGGTAAGAGAGAGCTCCGGAAAGACCAAGACCGCCCACTATGGGAAGCTCCGACGTGGGGAGCGATAAGAATCACGGGACCGCCAGGGTATTCCCCACTGGCGACATTCAGCATTAACATTGGCGACATTAAAGCTACACCTTCACTTTTCCCTCACCCAAAGTCTCTTCCCTACTCAATTACAGCCTCGTGAAATCGATATGGGTGCCCCGGCCAACATTCGCGAGATCAATGGATCTGATCTGATCTCTGCCCTCCACCTGGCCCAACAAGCCCCGGCCATCCTCGGCCCCAATCCTACGAAAGCGACGACATCAACTTCGGGTACAGCGGAGGAATACAGTCAACTTGAACAGCTTTTCCTTGCCTGTCTTCGAACAGGTGATGATCAGTCCGCGCAAGCATGCCTTGATCGACTCAGCCACCGCTTCGGCCCTGCCAACGAGAGAGTAATGGGGCTCCGCGGGTTGTACCAGGAGGCAACCGCCAAGGATCGTGCAGCTCTAGAAAAGTGTCGCGAGGAATACGAGAAGATTTTGTCCGAGAGTCCAGTCAATGTGGTTCGTTCTGGTCCTTGTCCTTGTCCTTGCCCCCGACCATCTTCATTTCTATTTCCAACCGGGGTCTTCCTCGCCATCGCCCAACGAGTTACTAACCTATCATGACAACTAGCCCATCATGAAGAGGCGAGTGGCCTTACTACGCTCTCTCGACCGACCTACCGATGCGATCGCGGCCCTGATCCAACTACTGGATGCCCTACCAACGGACGCGGAAGCTTGGTGTGAACTAGCCGATCTATACCAATCCCAAGGACTGGGTTCTCAAGCAATCTTCAGCTTGGAGGAAGCGTTGCTGATTGCTCCCAACGCCTGGAACGTATGATGACGACCTTACCTCTCTTACCGCTGCCTGTCAGATTTTGATACTGACGAACATGCAGATCCACGCCCGGCTCGGTGAACTCCTGTACGTCAGCTCTTCGGCTCCCGATAGCGACGCATCGCGACTTGGAAGTAAATCGGTGCAGCATTTCTGCCGGAGTATCGAACTTTGTGACGACTACTTACGAGGGTTTTATGGGTTGATCCTGGTACGCAGTCCCGCCTGACCCTGTTTCCCGCAAAAGCGTTTTCCGCCCAGCTGACTTTTGACTTCTTTCCTTCTCTCCTTCCAGGCAACCTCCCGAATGCTCGAAAATGGACAGGCAGATGAACGCCCATCGGACCCAACGGTCGCCCCTAGGAAAACCCTCGACCAGTTGAAACGCTTTGGACTCCAGCGGCTTGGAGAGATCGTCGAGTCTCGATCGGTCGATGATCAGCATTGGGCATCGAGTCGCAGTGAGCTGATTGCGGCCAAGGAATTGTTGAATCGGTTTGCATCTTCATAGTTGGGGCTCTTTTAGAGTCTTTTTCTTTTTTCGCTTATCTTCTTTTTTTCTTTCTTTTTCTCTCCCTCTCTTTCTACCATGCCCATGTTGTTGCTTGTACCAAATACTCTCGTGGATACCCTCACCAAATTATGCCAGTTGTCAAATGCAAAAAGATGGACTAGACCGAATGGCAGCCTCCAGTATAATTGCTCCAATTCCCCACCCTGCATCTCGCATGGCAAGTACCTACAGATGACTCGTCTAGACCTAATTCCAGATCGTTCTACAAGTCTCCGGATGAGTATGATTGGGCACACTCGGGCAGCAGATCCATCTGTTAGACATATGAGTCCAAGATATGCAGAGGAGGAAGAACAAGAAAAGAAAAGAAAATTTTACTTTTTTTTCCTTTGAAAAAAGAAAAAAAGGAAAGAGAAGAGTTGCATCTCGGACTGCCCTACACACCTAAATGGTAGTTGGTTACACATCATGCCCAACTCAGCCCAATAAAAGTAGACAGTCGGGCAAAAACACCCACACTTCAAAATCTGCCTCCTCGTTCTTAATTTTTTATTTTTTTTTCCTCTCCCTCTCCTCCTCGTCTTAATTTTTAATATTTTATACTTTGATCTAGTAGTCACTACTGACTGTTGTCACTACTTAAGTACAGAACTACGCAAGGAGATCTCGGACTACCTTACGGAGAGTACTTCCACTTCTCACAATCTAGCGGGGCTCCAAAAGAGTCAATGCGAACCTTTTTCTTCTTTCCCCCCCCCGCGTCTACCATTCTTCAAATCATCACAACCACCACCACAACAATCCCAGTACCCTCCTCGCTTTGTCTACGCGAGAGAGTGAGGGTATTCCATTTTCACTCTATATCACTTACTATTATATAGAGTAGAGGCTCTACCTCTATGACGTATGTTTTGGCTTTCCCTTCTTCCCTTCCCTCTCTCCCCTCTTCTTCTTCTTCTTCTTCTTCCCCCTTTAAACCTTCCCTCCTTCCTACCCGCATATAATACCACACTCCCCTCTTCCCCCTTTCTTCCTCTTCCTTCTCTTCTTCTTTTCTTCTACTCTTCCCCCTCTGCTTACTGACCCTCCCCTTCAGGTACAATATCTCCATTGGCCGTCTAAACCCGGAGGAGGACGATCCGTACCTATCGGACGAGGGCTCCTCAGGTGTACATGTCGATTTGCCAATCCCAGGAAGCCATGATCCAGAATATGAAGTTTGGGAAGATGTGCCATACCCGGAGGATTTAGTAAAACCTTCCGATTCAGCATCTCGACCGCGAACCTCACACCGCAATCGCTCGATCCACGGTTCACGTTCGGCTTCGGCCCGTCGCCCACCGCGCCGACACATGGAGTCAGGGTATCCCTCTACTCGACCCCGCCACCGGCAGGCTTCTCCAGCAGAGTCTGCCGGCAGTGGTGATTCAGAGGACTTCCCTCCTCATGACTACCCTCCCCAATATGATACCCGACCTCGCGAACGCCGCTGGGCCCCCCCAAGCCCCCCAAGTTCCCCCGCCACCACCCTCTTCCAACGGATATCCACCCGCCCATCCTGGCGCTGGCTACCCTCACCCCAACGGCGTAATGCAACCAGACTCATCGCTGATCCGACAACTTCCTGGCGCTAAGCAATACGGCTACCCTTACGGTCATCAATACCCCCAGGGCGCTCCCCAGGGCCCTCCCCATGGTGCTCCTCCAGGGATGCATTCATACTACGCGCAAGACCCAGCGTATCGACAACACCCTTCCCACCAGCCTCCCCAGATGCACAACCCGAACCAACAACCATTAGTCCACCACATGGCTATGCACGGCACACCGCCGCCATTCGGCGGCTCGCCTTTCCAGCATGAAATGGTTGCCTATGGCGCTAATGGGTTCTACAATTACCCCCGCGACCCTCGCGAACAATACGCGATGATGGCCGCACTGCAACAGCAATCCTTTTTCCCACACTACCCTCAACCTACTCCGGCTCCACCCGAGCCAACTCCCACTCCTGCACCTGCAGCGCCTACTCCAGCCCCAGCCCCAGCCCCAGCACCGGCCCCGGAACCGGCCCCGGCACCACCAGCCGATACAGCAAAGGACGAGGCAATCGCGCGTCTCGAGAAACTGATTCTGGACGACCGTTTAGCGCGCGAAGCCAAAGAGGCCGAGGCAATCGCCAAAATTGAGCAGGAGGCCAAAGACGCCGCTGCCGCCGCGGCGCAACTTGCCCACGATAGGAAAATTGCCGGAGAGGCCGCCGCTCTTGCTCGAGCCGATGCCGAGCAAAGGGCAGCCGAGGATGCCGCGAAAGCTAAAGAGGAGGCAGAAAAGGCTGCGGCAGCGGCTGCTGCGGATGCCGCCACTGCTGCTACCGCTGCCGCTGCAGCCGCTGCAGCTGATGCGGCGGCGGCGAAAGAAGCAGAGGCTGCAAAGGCCGCTGCACCCCCACCGCCCGCTGAGAAAAAGAAGCCTATCAAGTTTAAAGATGCAGTGGGAAGGAAATTCAGTTTTCCTTTTGAGCTTTGCGCAACATGGCAGGTAATAATTCTCCCCCAAACCAACCACTTTCAGGAAAAGGAAATCAGCTAACGAAATTTGATAATCAGGGAATGGAAGATCTAATCAAACAAGCCTTCCTTCACATCGAAGTCATTGGCCCACATGTTGCAGATGGTCATTACGATCTAGTTGGCCCGAACGGCGACATCATTCTGCCCCAAGTCTGGGAGACGGTAATCGAGCCTGACTGGAGCATCACGATGCACATGTGGCCTATACCCGAGAAACCCAAGGAACCCGATCCACCTCCTGCTGCGGAAGCTCCCGCTGAACCACCCAAGGAAGCCGCGCCGCCGCCTGCTGCCGAGGCTAAGAAGCCTGGTAAGTTTTAATATACCCATAGAACCCCCAAAACCGTCAGCTAACAATCTTTCAGCTCCGAAGAAACCTCGCCCTCCTCCCGGTCAGCCTGGAGGCTTTGCGAGCTGGATGATGGGAGGTCGGAAACCCCCCTCGGGGAAAAGCAGCTCCGAAGAAGGCCGAAGCAGCCCCAGCAGCGGCCCCGGCCCCAGCTCCAGCACCATAGTTCGGTCTACAGTCAGAAACACAATATACGACTCACATGAGAAAGCCTTGAGCTTTTTCATGTTGCTGGCTGTATCTTTGTTCCTTCTATAGCTACGAACCTAAGATTAGGATATCCTTGTCGACCCCTGCGTGGGACCTGTGCGGACCGCCATCAGCTTCCCAAGGGAAGCAAAGCAGAAAGATGTGATTGATGGACGAAATATCAAATGCTGGACTGGATACCGGGCCGGAATGGACCTATAAGATGGAAACTCAGCGCCTGGCTCGGATGTGCTTGTGATACGACCTCAGCCAACTTTGGCAAACCAATCCATTCATTCAGTCCCCAGGCGCAGACATAAATGATATGATTGCATTGCATTGCATTGCTCTGCAGGCCTGGGGTGGAGAAGGGAAACGGTCAAGCCCAAGAATGTTGGGTCGAGGTCCTGCTGGACCAAGCCAAGCCAAGCCAAGCCAAGCCCGGCGCCTATCCAAATGGTCCGATCCGATCTAGTCTGGTCTCTAGAACACCGTCTCCCTCTAATCTGAGATGCAAAGCGACGAACCGATGAATTGCAGAAATACCTTACATTACACTTACCATGACGAATTGAATGAAGTACCGATTGAATGTATCCACAAGGAAGCATGTAATGTAGCATACATAGTATCGTATTTGTAAAACCCATCCCGGACGGGGGCCACTATGCCAACCCCTCGATTCTAAGAATGACCATAATCACCCATCACCGCTGAGGAAGAAGCGGCTTCCACCCAATCTGTTCATGTTCACTCGCACTATCACCAAGAAGATCCAATCCCGCACTCGAGCGTGCCGGGGTTGAAGCCGAAGGCGGCGGACTCGAAGCTGTAATAGAATGAGCCCGACCACCTTCCTCCTCTCCTGGACCCAGGCGCATCGACGACTGGCGCGAACTAAGCGAAATCGGCTTGCGGGGAATAGCAGGCGGTGATCTCGGCGCTGGCGCTGATCCTCTCTCGACGGGTGATGTTTCACTAAAGGACCCGGTTCCCTGACGCGGGGGCGGAGCGGGGGGGATTTCGACTTCGGTCCCGGCTAACGGGTGATTGTGATTCCAAGGTTCCGGTTGCAGTTCCTTGTCGTGGGGAGGAGCTGGGGGTCGGTCACTGGATGGACGGATCCAATCTGGTTCTGTATCTGTTGAGAATGGGTTTGAGGCACGCTGGGTATTTGGGACGAGGCCTTCAGGTGGTTTGGTGGTTGCTTTTACGGGGACGCCTGTTGTTCAAGGTTAGATGAAATCGAGCGCTGATCCCATATCTCCAAGTGGCGCCGAGGGCAATCTTGAGTCTGGGGTGACTTACCATTATCTAGCCACCACTTGCTCCGATCAGAACTAGCTGGCGGTAGACCCGGTGCAATAGGGTCTTGATACGTATTGTCTTCATCTTCCAGGTCCAGGAGATTGATTGAGTCGGAGAGTGCGTCGCGCTGCTTTTGCCTGTATAGTTCACGGCGGATGGTATCTTTGAGTCCATGGTCGACGACATCGACCAGGCAGTCGAAGACTGAAAATACGGGCCTGTGATCTGATATCCTCAAGTCTGCGACGTTGTATTGTGTTTGGCGCATGTTGGACCCGCGCCAGAGAACACGGTCACACCATGCTGGGATGCGAGATTTTTCGCTAAAAGGGTAAGTTGAACGTTTACCGATGACTGGGGAGGGAGGGAAGGTCTTACGAAGTGTCATAGATATCAGTTCCAATGTCATATTTGTATGTGGGCGCAAATCCAATCGGACCCTCTGAGTAGAACTGGAAGGCTCTGCCGGCAATCATTTGCAGATTCAACTATTTCGTTCGTTGGTTAATTCCTCTTCCAGGGAAAAGGTTTAAATAACGTACCTGATCATTGTCATAGAGTTTCTGATAGTCGCGCTGCGAAATCAAATCTCTTACAATTTGATTCCCCAGCCCAATGCGATAATTGAAATCTCCGAGCCAGACAACCGTGTCGTGATCGGCAATAGCTCGATTCTTCTGGAACCGCAGCCCTCGATCGATGGTCTCGTAGTCTCTATTTCTCTCGTCATAATTTGCGAAGCCAGCTGCCAAATGAGCCGTCACGAAGCAAATACTCGTGTTGGAGAAGTCAAAGCGAATGGCACAGCCTCCTTTATTTCCAGCAATTCCAGACATGCCAGTCTAACAAAGCAAAGCAGTCAGCCATAATGCCAGGGTAAAGTTGTTCAGATCAGGGAGAGTGGTCGGTTACCTTTTTAACGGTACCCTCAACATTCTTAATATCCTTCAAAACATCTGCTTTCACATAGATCATCAAAGCGGCGCCCACAAGCTGCCCACTTCGTAATAACACATACTTGCTAGTCCCATTCATTTTGGACCGCTGGTTCAAGCAATCTTGAACAGCCCTCTCCCAAACCTTCCGCGTCCCCGGATCCGTAGACATAATCTGCTGCGGACTCAAATCCACAATTTCCTGAAAACCCACAGCAAAAATAGCAGGCTCTTCCTGCGGCTCCGTTGTCTCAGGGAACAACCACGGCGAAAGATCAGCACCAGGACCGGCATCTTGACCATTCACATTAAACGTGCCAATCCACATCCGCGTATATTTAGTCGAGGAATATTCCGAAGCCCGCCGATTCAATTCTTCGGTGACAATGTCGTTCATCGGGTCGTACAGGTGAACAGGTATCTGATTAGCCAGACGGCCTAGAAGAATATCGATAGTCCTTTGCCTGAGACTTATCAGTGAAGTTATTGACATACAACCGCGTCGCACTTTTCCGCGCATCCGCAAGAGCGCCAGCCAGAGACATCTTCCCCGTACGGGTAAAGGAAGACTTGAGCGCTCCGGTGCCCGCATAAATCTTCGAAAGAGCGTCGCCATTGTCGGCCCACAGGGTCGAGTGTCGCATTGAGAATTCCGAGCTAAGCCTGCAGCCCTGGTGGGACAAGAACGATTCTATCGCCATTGCACTGATTATAGTTTGAACGAGATTCGTTCGGTCCAGGCAGTCTAGACAGTTCGTTCGAAAGACACCATCTTGCTGTAAGATCACTGTGGAAAGTGGCGTGGCACCTTCGCCATTATGAACAGACGCGGCAGGCCGGGTTGTATCCTCGGAGAGGAAGTAAGCAAATCCGTCCAGAGAGTCCGCAAGCTCATATTTGATCTGACTACTGGCTTCGTAGCCCGCGGGACCACGCGTCTCTGCGAGGAAATCATACTCCGTCATCCGAAGAAGGCTATGGTGCTCGGATTTCAGCTCGCCCTCCTCTTTCTGACGGAGGGAGCTGCGGGCAATATGTTTTCGAAATTTAGCCGAAAGCTCCGCTTCTCCCGATCTAGTCTCGCTGAGTAGATTGACTACGTGGACTGCCCCGTAAGCCAGCTCGAGAGTCTCAAAGTGTTGGTTGAAAGCATGTTGAGTCGCCTCGCTCGACCGTGTGATTTCAATCTTCTGTTGACCCGGAATAAGACCTGGAGTCTGTTCCCAGAAAATAGGCAGCGAGCCTCGGATTTGGGCATAGGAGAATGCGATACCTGGCGGGACCCAGAGGGTTACCTCGGTCTCGACAAAGTTGGCCACATTGCCATCATCGTCAATTCCACGAGAGTTAAATCTTGTTCCGGCTCGTCGTGACGATTGTCGCGAAATGATGGTTAGGAAAGAAGGGAACTTGCTTCGAATTTGTGGAAGAATCGGAATTGTTGCTGGGATCTTCAAGGTACTGGCATATCCTCGAATCACACAAGTCAAGAGCTGGGACGCGTCAAGTTGGGATTTCTCTGAAGGCGGCAAATGGCTGCGAAACAGGAGAAGTGGGTTGATCATGTATGAGTTCCACAGCATGTCCTCATCCAGGGAGTCGATATCAAACGCGGCTGATTTGTCGATGCTAAAACCTGGTCAATACTTTTCGAAATGAATAAGGATTGAATTGGCAATACCGGTCTTGCAAGCGATCAGTCAGATTGAAGTCTAAACTGTAGTAAAAGCTGCCATCGCCAAGAAGCTTCTTCAGGGCGAGGAATGGATGTTCCGTGACCATGTCCTTTCCATCGCGGTCTTCGGCCGCGAATTGAGCACTGGTTTCGTAGTCCAGACCATACTCATATTCCGAGCGATTCAAGCAATCTGCAGATTGTGTCAGTAAGAAAAATGGAAAAAGAAAAAAATTTAATTGTTCTTTTTGGTTTGTTCGGACACGCACAGAAGTCTACATTATCGATTCTCGAAACAGATTCCCCTGGCCTCACAGTAGCCGCTTGCGAAGAACCAGTAACCACGCAAACGAAGACATCATCACCAAGCGTGATCATACCAAGAGTTCCATGCCCGGCTCCTAAAGAGCGATATCCATTGAGATCCACGGATGAGATATTTGCGAATTCAACCTGACAGCGCGGAGGGGCCTTGGCCCCGGTCCCCGCGGCGCTATAATGGAAGATCAAGGCATGATCGGTAGTTACCAGCGCAATTGTTCGTTGAGGCTGATCTCGACAGAGCACCCGAAGATTAAACATGGCGTAGAATATGAGATCGGAAATCTGCCCCGCGCACCATCAATCTACCACACGCGATGCCAGAGGCTAAGCCCCAGTTGCCCAACAGTGTAGCCCAATGGTTCGTAATTCCATGCGTAGCACCGAAGCTACCACGACGACACCTAAACCCCAAAAATACTGGGAAAGAAATTAAATGTCCAACGAGTCAAGATGGGAATGAATTGTGTGCAGTGGCGGGAGTATTGACTGGAGATACTCTCAGTCTGATGCCGATACCTCCAAGTGGCCCAGCTGCGGCTGAGGCCCGCGCCACGAGATTACCTAATCATGCGGGACCGTGTTATCTTATCGGTGCTGACTCAGCTATCTCCCGCAAAAAAAGTTCCCAATAGACTTTGAAGGGTGAAAAGTTCCCCTTCCAGAACGCCTCTCAATCTTTATACACATACACACCACCATGGGATTAGCCGCCGCAAAGAGGTACACACTCATACATTAACTCAAACTTCAAACCTTTGAGATAAGCTGACTTATTTGATTCCTTCCAGGAGAACCAAGATCTCCAATGATCCCAATAATACACAATGGGCGCGCTCCACTTCGGGCTTTGGCCATAAAATCATGAGTTCTCAGGGCTGGGCCCCCGGTGGTCGCCTTGGTGCTAAGGACGCTGCGCATGCCGATCTCTTGACTTCTGCCAGTACCTCTCATATTAAAGTGACCATCAAGGACGACACACTAGGACTGGGTGCTCGATTGGGTCGGGAGGGCGAACCGACCGGTCTGGATGCCTTCAAGGGACTCCTCGGTCGACTCAACGGCAAATCAGAGGAGGAACAACAAGTGGACCAACGCAAACGAGAAGATGTGAAACTCGCCCGATACGTCGCACTGAAATTCCCCGAAGTTCGATTTGTTCGCGGCGGTCTGTTGGCGCAGGAGAAAGAGGCTGTCCTGGCGGATGCCGAGAGGGCGGAGTTGAAGGAAGAGAAGGCGAAGAAGGAGAAGTCGAAAAAAAGAGAGCGATCAGGATTCCAGCGACGACAGCGAATCCAAGTCCAAATCCAAGTCCAAGTCCAAGTCGAAGAAGGATAAATCGAAATCCAAGTCCAAGGACAAGTCCTCCAAGAAAGACCGTTCCCGATCAACCGATGTCGACAGCTCCTCCGAATCTAAGAAGAAGGAGAAGAAGAAGTCAAAGAAGCGAAAGGCTGATTCCGACGAGAGTGAGAGCGAGGCTAGCGACAAGCCCGCCCCCACCCCCGCCGTTTCACGAGAGCGACTCCCCATGGCGAGACAAATCTTCCGGGGCCGACATATTGCACAGAAAAAGAGGGCACTTATGGATGACAAGTCATTGAATGAAGTGAGTTTACCGTCTATACCCTTTCTCGGGGGTATATCAACATTTGAAGGAACGAAACTAATGGCAAATACTAGATTTTCATGGTGAAAGCGTAGAGCCAGATTTGCATTTTATAGACACAACCCACTAGCGGGATGGCGTTCGGGGTATTTTCGACCAGTACATAAGTCAAATGAATCATTTATTTCTTCTGAACTTTGCTCTACATCAACCAAACTAATACCTGTAGTAAGTAGGTATACAGATAGATACTAGAAATGGAGCACCAAGCTATCCGCGATCAGAGCACAACAATTACATGGGTTACCTTGTTTAGAGACAAAGATTTGCGGAGGAAGCAAGTCCTACAAGGATGGATAAAACCCCCGGTTGCAGAAGCTCTTTAGCAGCCCATTTTGTGCTACTTTAGAATACTTTATTTTGTTTGATTACGGTACACCAAGCACGCACAAATCATGGAGCTAAAGATAGCTTCTGCGAGCAGGGTTTTCATCCATCCTTGTAGGACTTGCTTCTCTCGCACAAAACAAAGTAGCACAGATAATCGCTGGGTTCTGTTGAGGGATAGCTTTATGGCGAGAGAGGTGATTAAAGAGGAGATATGTGTATGGATGAGAGGACCTTAAAAGGCCTAGATATAGATTTGTGGACTGACTAAGCCTATGAAACTGGACTAACGCTCTGGATGTGCAAACACTCTTGTCTCTGTCTTCAGCCTCTCAGCTTTGTTTGTAGATGAGACAAGCTGGGAGTGTATGAGCTCTCACTGTACAAAAGTGGAGACCACAAATCTCAGGCTGCCAATATTACTAATCCGTCGTACCGCACCGACGTCATCTTAGTTCCGGCGAGCGCGGGACCTGATCTTCCCTCATCATCAAGCTCACCACTAGAAGATGAATGGGGACACACCTTCAGGTCGGGGACCAGTCTCATCGACTCGGTCCCCGTCCACTCGCACCAACAATAAGGACAAGAAACGGTATGCAACAACATCTGTTCCATCCCAATGCCCGTCATGAGAGACACTACCCGAGCTACAGTATGCTGATATCTATAGCATCCACTGGGCACCACTAAACATCGGCATCGAACGCCGCCTCCAAACCCTGATCGTGCTCTGCCACACCCTCACAATCGTCCTCTTCCTCTGCAGCTTCTTCTTCACCTGCGCAATCCCCCTATTCTGGCCCCTACTCCTCCCATACTTGGTCTACATCACCCTATTCTCAACAGCCCCAACATCAGGCGAACTAAAAGGCCGAAGCAATATCCTCCGTTCCCTGCCAATCTGGTCAATCTACGCCTCATACTTCCCCGCAACCCTGCACCGCGAAGAAGCCCTCCCCCCAACAAAAAAATACATCTTCGGCTACCACCCGCACGGCATAATATCCCACGGCGCATTCGCAGCCTTCGGCACCGAAGCCCTCGGCTTCAAAAAGCTCTTCCCAGGAATAACCAACACGCTCCTAACCCTCGATTCCAACTTCCGCATCCCATTCTACCGCGACTACGCCCTAGCAATGGGCCTAGCCAGCGTATCCCGCCAATCCTGCGAAAACATCCTCTCAAAAGGCGGGCCCAACAACGCCGGCATGGGCCGCGCCATAACAATCGTAATCGGCGGCGCACGCGAATCTCTAAACGCCCAACCGCACTCATTAAAACTCGTCCTCAAGCGGCGCAAGGGATTCGTCAAGTTGGCCATTCGCACAGGCGCGGATCTCGTGCCTGTCCTCGCTTTCGGCGAAAATGACCTCTATCAGCAGGTTGATTCGGATCAGCATCCTGTTATTCACAAGGTGCAGATGCTGGTTAAGTCTACGATGGGATTTACGATTCCGCTGTTCCATGCGCGGGGCGTGTTCAATTATGATGTGGGGCTTATGCCTTATCGGCGGCCTTTGAATATTGTTGTTGGTCGGCCGATTCCTGTTATGCAGCAGGCTGATCGGGATTTGATTGATGATAAGTATATTGATCTCTTGCATGCGAGGTATGTGGAGGAGTTAAGGCGGCTGTGGGATACGTGGAAGGATGTTTATGCTAAGGATCGGAAGGGGGAGCTGGAGATTATTTCGTGATATGGGATCCTAGCTTCTCGTCACTACGTCAGAAGAGGAAAAGGTCCTGCTAGTGGGTGATGGTTGAATTTCTGCCAGCTCCATGCATGACCATTGTGATCATTTCTACATTTCTCTTCTAGATTCATAAATTACATATCAGGTTTACTCTGCAAGACCTCTGGGGTAAACAACTTGAACTTGGAATATTCTAGCACATATTTGCCATTGAAAGTATAAAAAATAACATCAAGTATCAATACTAGTACACTGCCACACAGGGCTTCAATTCCAGATTGCTAAAATATGTAACACAAATCACAAATAAATAAAACAATACAAGAAAGGCAAGCAAAATAAAAAAAAGGGGTATCAGATCAACGGTAAACAAAAAAGAGGCCCAGCCCTGTCTGTCAGGTCATAGCATAGCCCCGTCATTTTGGCGGACTTGCTGGAAGCGGCGCGGTAGGAACAGGCGTGGGCGGACTCGGCTTCAATCCTCGCACCTCAGCACTCGTCGATACACGACGACTAAAGTCTACGGTATTCTTCACTGCGCCTAGAGAGTCCCGCTCTAGATGGCCACCCTCCACCCGGCCCTGTATCATTTCATCAAGCATTTTCGACACCTCGTCCATGTTCTTCTTGCGGTCCCGCTCGCCTTCTCCATCGCCGTTCCTCAAGTGTGCAGGTAGAGGCGGCGGCGCCATCGGACTCGCGCCCTTGTCCATTGGGGTCGGGCCACTGCCATGGCTGGTGGTAGGAGGACTATTCGGCGCGGTGGGAATTTCCCCTTTAGCCGCGAGAGCGAGGTCTGGTGACTGCGCATCACCAGTGATAGCAGCTAGATCACGGTGTCTAGCCGCAGACCTCAAGGCAGCGAGCATTCGATCTTTATCATCGAGTTGGATGCGAAGCTCGTTGATTTCCATATCCTTCTCGCGCAGCAAAGCGCTCGAGTCTGGATGCTCGGCGATCGTGGAAGTAGTCGACTTGACACCGACCGACATGCGGGAGTGACTTGAGCGTCGAGCTTGAAGGAGTCGTCGTTCCAGGGTGGAGATGTACCGATTCTTATCGCCGAGGTCTGCCTGTAAGGCCGTGACTTGTCGTTGTAAAGAGGCCTTGCCGTCGCCGAATTCACCCATGTCATCCTCTTCCTCATGGCCAAATGATCCACCTGGGAACCCGGGCATTGGATCATTGCTAGTGACCGACATGAAGGAAATGGGCCGCATGGAGTGGCTATAGCCAGCGCCTAGCGTAGATTGACTGGCCGAAGACCTGAGCGAGCGCGTTCCATTATCAATACTGGACATTCGTGACAATCGTCCAAGTGCCGACATGCTGCCGTGATTATTCACGCCTGTCGACTTGGAGCTCAGAATGAGACGGTTGAGATGTTCGATTCGTTCCTTAAGCGCCGTTCGAGCAAGTTGCATTTCCAAAACTTGCTCTTCGTGCCGGGCATGTGCTTCTTTCTCAAATTGCTGCTCATCCCATTTGAGCTCCTTCTCCGCCTGGGCTTTGGCCTGTGTATCGAGTTGGCCGCGAAGCGCTGAGATCTCCATCCGATACCGTTCCAGCAATACTCGACTGCCCGAGTCTCCGCCACCAGCACCGTATGCCTCCTCGGCCTTCTTGGCATGACTGACAATGTTGTTCTTTGCTCGCGCGGCGAACTTGAGTGTATTCAGTGTCTCACCGGTGTTTGCGTTGACACCAGACACCAACTGGACTGTACACAGAATACTGACCAGTGAGTTTCCCGAAAGAGCCGGCTGAAGCAGACGCGTGAGTTTACTGTCTCGATAAGGCAAATGCCTACCATCCCCTGAGCTCGCCTGCTTCTCCTTGCTATCCGATAACCCAGAGATAATGTTACCCAGCGTAAGCAGCGACTTATTGATATGAGCACCCTCCGTCCGGCGCTCCTTATCATCCGCCGCCCTCTCCGATCCAGCAAGATCAATCAAGCTCAGCGTCGAAACCCGCACACCACCCGGAGCGATCCCAGCCCGCTTATCCTGCGCATTATTCGACGGCACACGCTCCCGACTCTCAACGACAATCTGCACCACGGCATGACTGCGTGAACTCCGCGAATTGAACTGCGTACTGCTCGTCCGGCGCGAATGGTCTCCCCTCGCAATCACGCGGAGAAGCTGGGTGGGACTCTGCACAATCTCTTCCTTCAACGGCGTAGCGTAGACACCGCGCTTGCTGTCCTCACGCAATTTGATCTCTTCCTGTTGCGCAGCGGGCCCACTCCCGGCCGCAGGCGCAGAGAGCAGATCGTGAATCTTCTCATTATAAATCTCGAGATAGCTGACTCGAAGCAGAAACTCGCGGTGCGGCGTCTCGCGAATGAAAGAAAAGATATCGGTGATTGCGAGGGGAATCACACCGGGCGAGGTAGCCGTTCCTTGCATGGAGAACGTTTTACCCGTTCCTGTCATACCATACGCAAAGACCGTGCCGTGATACCCTTCCATAACCCGTCGCACGAGGCGTTTTGCGGCGGAATCGTAGACCTTGGCGTTATTTTCGTGCGAGGTGAATACATTATCTTTCAAACGGTTAGTTTAGTTCAAAGTATCCCCATCGGAGCACGAGCACGAGCACGAGCTTCCAACTCACCATAATAATAATCCCCTCCCTCTTTACCGCGGTAAGAGACAAGACTCTGACGCCCCTCAACAGACCATTCACCATGTGTCCTGGCCGTCTCACCATTCGGGGCATCAGGCCTAACACGTACACTGACAATAACATTACCCTTCATTTCCTTCTTGGAGCCCCCCTCTCCTCCCTTCGCGGTACTAGCATCATCGACGTCGTCGAACGTCGTCGCGCTCGTCGAACACGATCCCTGAGCCGACGAACTCCGACTATGACCCGGCGACGCCTCCGGATCGCGCGCATCAGCAAGAATCGACTTCCCATCCGCACTCCCATTCAATAACGACGGTGTCTTCGAACTGCGATAACTACTCGTGGTCCCGGTGCTGAGGCGCGAACCGCGTTTGGGTTTCGATCCCGAACCCGTCCCCGTCCCCGAACCCGTGGAACCAGAGGCGGGAACCCCAGTCACGCTCGACGCGGTTGAGGGCCGACTAGAACTCCCCGCCGCCTTTGGCGGTTGGGGAAACGAGGCAATGCTGATTGTCCGGCGGAGGGACTTGTCGGGGGAACTTGGGGTACGGCCGTTGGAAGCGGAACGGACGGTGCTCAGATTGGACGTGGAGTTTGAACTGGAGAGTGGCGAGCGGAGAGAGGGTTTTGGGCTGGAGGGAGTTCGTAATCCGGAGGGTCTGTAGGGGGATGCGGATCTCGTATCGGGCGCGGCGGGGAGACTCCTCCTGGGTTTGGGGGTTGGGATTGGTGGCAATGAGCCGGTTGGAGGGTTGGTGACTGGCCGTGCTGGCGTTGGAAGTGTTGATGTGGAGGCCATGGTTGAGATGGAGTGGGAGGCACAGGCCCAATAGATAGAATTCCGAGAACCTCGCCAGATATCAGTTCAGGCTATGGATGGTTGGGAAAGGCGTAACGGCCATGCGGGCAAGAAATTCAACAGCAGCGGTGGGTGGATTTGGGATCGCGATATCGGAATCGGAATCGAAATCGGTGGGGGAAAGTTGGGTTGGGCTCTGTTTGGAATCAGGTTAGTTTAAAGTGATTTGAGTATTGGCAGTGGCTCGGCAATCTAGTGAGATCGAAGCTGAGGAATAGCGCTGTGTCGAGGGCAATGTTTTTTTTTTCGCAATGGAAATAGATTACAGAGTCTCGGATACATACCGCTTCAGACCATGCGTTGCGATCGCGACGGGCGCGGCTTTGGAAGAAATGAAACGCCACTGCCGGACCGTTGAGATATTTCGGGTAGGATAGATAGAATTAAAATATCAAAAAGGATTCAACTCAGGTAAGAATCGAATTGCGAGAAAGAAGAAGAAGAGAGAAAGGGAAGTTTGAGAAAGGGAACTTTCCCCGCAACCGGGAAAGGAACCCCGATTGTTTTTATCTTTTAACAACTACACTGGGCATACATAGAACAACTACACTGCATGTCTACTGCTCCCCTGTATTGGCTAGTACTTGCGTTACCTTGATCCTATCGCATCCCATGCAGGTCTAACCCTCTTCTCCTCAAGGTAATGCATTATCGACCTCCTCCTCCATCCCATGTCACCTCGACCAAAGGCCGTGCTGCGAAGAAAAGGGGCTGTTTTTAGGAGGGCATGGCGTTGGTGCTAAAATGACAATCACAGTCTAAGTCTCGAAGGAGTCAAGGCCCGTCATCCTGTGGTCTCGAGTCACCGGAGCTGGAGCTGCCTGCACCCAATGATTGCTCAGCAGTGGCTACAAGGTGGAGGAGCCAGGATGGATCCAGGATGGAGGGATCCAAGGGCCGCTGAAAAAGGGGGCGAATGACCATCGCCCACTCGTCAGGTACTGCGGTACTTCTTCCCCCCCTGTGGAACCCTGCCGATTATTTGGATCTTGACTCTGATGGAGTCGAGCCCAGAGTCCGGAGCCCAGGAACCCCTCGGGTCCCATGTGCGAACCTTGAAACGTTGATCCTCCTTTAAGACCCACTGTGATAAAGGCACCGAGTAGGAGTACTCCGTACGGAGTACATTACTGGCGCTCTTATCCCATTTTGCCCCGTCTCCTCCAAATTCTCTCTCTAAGATGCCAGCCCTGGAGTGACTTGCGAGGCTTGCCATTGAGGGAGACATGAACAGCGAAGGGAGTCAACAATATGCCAGTAAATGCAAGGGGATAGATGACAATACCAAGCATGGACCCCCCCCATCCTTCCCCCCCACAGGGAGACGGGCACTGTCGTGATGGCTTGCAGTGGACTGGGCCTTTAGTGAACAGTGCTACATGACAGATAGCGGAGCGTGCGGGTGACAGGTTGACATCTCTCTTAGTTTTCATGGTGTTGTCCCGTTGGTTTCCTGAGCTGTCATTCGAGACAAGGTTGGGCAGCGAATAGTCGCTGCATCTCTGCATGCGTCTAGCAGCAATTGTCACGGCATGCAGATGAAAATGATACGATCAACATGCAAGTGGACGGACGAAATAGGAAATATGAGGGGCCCAAAAAAGCAAATCGGGAAGTCAGTAGAGAGACAAAGGACAAAAGACAAAGACAAATTACGGAGATTTCCCGGCATATATTTGGTACAAAGTACGGAGTACTAGTTGGATGTCACTAGTTGGATGTCACTAGTTGATGTCACTAGTTGAATGTCATTATTGTCATCGCGCGCCGAAATCCAGTTGTCGGGCCGCGTTCTTAAATGGGCCATCATTAACCTCGCCACCGCGTCGACTCATATCCTCCGCCATTTTCTTCTCGGCGTGGCGTTTTTGCGGAAGGTCTTCATTCTTGGTTGGTTGAGGATCAATGGTCCACCATTTATGTCGCAAAGCCTGGACCGCTGTGATTCGCTTTCTAGGATCCAACGTGCACATCGACATCAGTAGATCAGCACCCACCGGACCAGCGGTAGGAAACTGCCGTGAGAAAAAGTCCCGTCCAGAAGTAGGAATGATCTGACTACTATCCGTCTCAATGAAGTACGGCAATTTCGTAACCCCGGGCCAATTGTCTTCTGTGGGTGTGCCAAACGCCTCACAGATCTTGGAAATCTGATCCAGATCCGTATTCCCCGCCACAAAAGGCACTCGCAAGAGCAATTCCGCAAATACCATCCCCATCGACCACACATCAACGGCGCCGGAGTACTGTCTCGCTCCGTAGAGTAACTCGGGGGGTCGATACCAGCGAGTGATCACCTGGTGGGTCATGTTGAGATAGGGATCAGCGAATGACCGGGCCAGACCAAAATCAGCCAATTTGACCTCGCCATCCGCTGCAATTAACAAATTGTTCGGCTTGATATCCCGATGCAACACGTAATTCTCGTGGCAGAACCAAACCCCGCGCGCCAGCATGCCCATCCAAGCCTTGATATCCGCCGCGCCATACTGAACATCTTGATCGCGGATGAGCATTTCCAGATCGCCCCCAGGTAGGAATTCGAGTACCAGGTGCAGATTCTCATGCTTGGAGAACACGTCGTGGAGGGCGATGACGTTCGGGTGGGAGAGTTCTTGGAGGTATTTCACTTCGCGGATTGCGTCCATGGCGAGTCCATCTTTGTAGTCGGCATTGACTTTGATCTTCTTGATTGCGACGGTTGTGGCGGTGTCTCGGCGAAATCCCTGGTAGACCACGGCGTAGGTACCTTCACCTAATTTCTTGCCTGGGGGAGGAGTTAGTCTAGTGCTTTGCTTGGTTTCGATATCTGGTGGGGTGTCGAACCTCTTTCATAGTTATGCGCGACGGAGTCATTCAACTGCTCTGTGAGTTCACCATTGGGCTGGGTCGAAGTCTTAACATCTGCTGTAGATCCGGACCCAGATTGAGCAGCGGATGCTTTCAATCTAATAGCTGTATTGGGGGAAGCCACCGTCATTGACGGTGAGCGGGAGGCGAAAGGTGAAGCTGCCATGACTGCTGCAGATTGGAAGAGCAGCTTTGGGGGCAGGGGCCCTTGGGCAAAAAAGCGCCGATCAAACAGGTGAAATAGCCAGACACTATTGATCGGACACGTTAATAAGAATCCATCTCAAAAGAAAAGAAAAGTGTGCTTCTCAAGGGCGGTCCTTGTAATGCTTGAGCTCGGAATAGAAGTGCCCACCGCCTTACGCCATTGCTATTGGCGGAAGTGAAGGCGGTGGGAAAAGGCAGGCACTGCTCAAGTTGTCTCCCCGAAATTTCGGACCGCGACTGCAATTCAACAGACACCCCCGGATTCTCGCCTTCTGTCCATTCAATTCCCCTCCGCGCCACCTCTCTCGGCGCTTTTGGTGATTCCGGTCATCTTCAGACCCTCAAAAAACGCAACTAGGAACCCAATTGTGTGGGCGTGAGCTTCCATAACACCAACCGCCATGGCAATGCGCAACCCCGTCCTCCGAGGCCTATCCTCCTCTCGAATCCTCCAGACAGCCAGCATATCCCGACAAAGTATTCGCCCTCTCTCTCAAAAGGTGGTTCCCTCAGTCCCATCGCCGACCCCATTCGTCCCCGACGTCCCAACCTTCCTCACCCTAATCGGCCGCCAAATGTCCAAACACTCAAGCAAAATCACCTCATGGGAACAACTCTTCGCCTCCAGCTCCGACCAGCTCCGCAGCCTCGGAATCGAAAACTCCCGACAGCGCAGATACCTCATCCGCAAGCGCGAGAAGTTCCGCAACGGCCTCCACGGACCGGGCGGAGACCTTGAACACGTCGTGGACGGCGTCGCCCAATTGCGCGTGGTGGAGATCCCCGTACCAGCAGCAGCAAATGCCTCCAAGACCGGCGTAGTCCGTTCCTCCGCCCCAATCGTCCCAAAGACAAAGAAGGTTGTCGTGAACCTCACCCCCGACGCAACGGAATACACGCACGTCGTCACCAAAGCCCTGAAGAAATTCGCACACATGAAGGTCCAGCGCGGCAATAAGATCATGGGTCCCTTCCTGCAGCCGATGAAAGGGACGCACGGTACTGCTGCGACTATCAGCGTTCAGGAGGGTATGTGGGAAGATAAGCGTGGTCACAAGGTTGACGGTGGTGAGCGACGACAGAAGGAGGTCCGGGCGAAGCTGAGACTTGAGGAGCGGAGAAAGGCATGAAGGAGCAGGTATTAGTCCCTGAGTTGGCGTTTGCTCTTTCTCGTTTCTTGCATATCTGTTAAGCTTAACCCCGCGATGGAACATGTTTCTTCTACAATGTACTATACTATACTATATCAGCATCCATCCATTCCACCAGGTCCGATTATATCGAATCGTATTCAATTTCTTATACATGTCGACGCGACTTCTACGGCAAATAGAAGAAAGAATGAGAGCATGTCGCGACAAATACAACGGCAAGTAATTTTATCCCAAGGCATTCAGACCTAGAATCAAGATATAGCATTTGTTTACTTGCAAGGTCTAGAAGAGTTTGCTTCTCAATATAGAAAAAAATCCAATTGGTGCTTATTCTACAAAGGATTACTAGGAGGGAGGGAGATAGCGATATGGGAAGGCCATAGATGCACATAGGAAACGCCAGTTGCCTCTTCATGTCAGGCAACTTGTGTGAAAGATGATCCAAGGCTGCTCGATATCATAGACGCTTCATTGGAAACGTGCCAAGTCAGATGCTAGCTGAAGCTTCGCTTCAATAATATCTCGAACAGTGGTTCCATGTACTGATTATACAAAGTCGCCAATCTAGTACGTTTTAATTGAAAAGAAACTCGGCCGCCTTGTGCTGAGTTGACGTATTGCCAACCTACTATGACCGCATTTACTGTATCTTCTGGTGATACTTGGCTCTCAATTAAACCGAATACTTCATAAACACCTACACGCTTGTGCTTCAATCGAGATATGAGAATGTGCATGACCTAGAGGCCCTCAGCTTTAAAGCACTTAAACTACCACAATTGCCACAACGATGAAAAGCAGCCTCGAGAATATTGGGAGCAATAGAAGCCTAGAGATATGTTGCAGTGATGCCTGTCTCGTGAGGGAAGACCGTGATGGCGACATAGACAGTGAGTAAATGTTCCATGCATGCTTATCTTCAGAAACTGACCCATTCCCTCCCCCGAAGTGACGAATTCTTACCTTTACTGGGTCAATCGAGGTACAATGACAAAACCATATTCCGAAAATTTTGAGGCTGTGGATGGTGCCTACAGAGACGCTGCTACCCATTACGCATGGATTCATCCTTATCTCTCATCAAGCCAGACCGAGACCGGCGAAACTACTGTTTTGACCCTTTGCCAGAACAGTGTCGCCGAATAGAAAACGGTGTATGAGGACAAAAAACCATGACATACTATTCTAAGCAAACTATGAGTTCTCAGCAACCACCAGCGAATCCAGGTACCTTTCAAGGTCAAGTGATGTCCACAGCTATGCTGCATGAGTTTACTCATGCGCCAGCTAGCATTGGAACTCCTTATCTGAGTACGTATTCCCGCTGCTGGGCTATGTTCTTCTTCCTCGCGAGTCAGCTCATCACATAGAATTAAATATGAACCAATACTACTAGTACCGTATGTGAAAATAATCATTTCCCTGATATAGGTGATTTCACCAGGACTAAGCTTGAAGTGGTAGTTGGGTGCGATCATGGAGATGTGATCAGTTGCTACCAGGTACTAGTTTGCTTCTTGAGGCGAGCCCCCACTACGCTTTGGCGAGATCGGCCCCACTGGCACAGTACATAACCGATTATTCTCTCTCGATGATCGGAAGATGGCCGATGATTTGGGATAACATACGAAGCGATACAAAAATCTTCTTTCCGTTTGTCTTCGATTTGAATGTTTTTTAATTTGCAGAAGCCCGCCACTAACGCTCCGTATTAACTCCCACATACTATGCATCCACTTTCTCACCACCTACGGCCCCAACCTTGGAAGTTAACTGCGAATTGACCGAGCTCGGAAACTGAAGACACAGAAAGCCGAGAACATTTCCTTTTTAGGGGTCTTCAGTCATTCCCAGTCTAAGTTCCCTTTATTCAGAATGAACAACATTGACTATGTGGAGACTCGCCCTCGATTTCATGATCATGTTTACTATTCAAAAGACCTCGACGACTCGGAACTAGCGGATCTCCCCGTCCTTGGGATCCTCCATTTCACTTTTCAACCTGGAGTTGACGTTTCCCATCCGCAGCAGTGCCCTGCAACTGTATTATGGAAGAAGTCGTTGAAATATGTATCGACAATTCCTGGATTTGAAAGGCTATTTTGGTCGCCAGTGAACGATAACGACGCCTCGTCATGTCAGCAGGTCGTCGTCTTAATCCAGTGGAAAGGCGTCTGTGGATGGAGACATTTCCAAATTTCCCTCGGATTTAGTATGATGCTAGGCTATATCACAGAAGCCTCGAACCGTTGTATCCAACATACTCTGCCGCCCGAAATTCCTCGCTCATGTTATCTGGAGCTAGTATCTTTTCGATTCCCAGATGGTAAAACGAACTTCAAAGCTGAATGGGACAGCACATTTTCACTGTTTAATGGAGGTGCTTTAGCCGTGGCCGGATTATTACACGCCAGTGGAGAGTGGCTAGAAAGAGACATAGATACCGAGGATTACTTCTTCGCTGGTCTACTTTTCTGGAACTCAGGCACAGGGTTTGGAAATCGGAGCATTTTAGCCGGTCACATAGCTTCCCTCGTGGAAAATGGTTCTTCAACAGTGTCGGTATACACAAGCGAGTTGAGATTTGTCTCAGTCGACGATGCCTCTATACTTCAGTCCTCCGACTCTTTCACGGGCTGTGAAATCTCCAAAATCAGACATGCGGCCTTTCAAAAGCCCGTGCACCCAAGATACAGCCTTGATGAAGATATTTCGCCGGGTTTCAAGGACATTTACCATAAGAAAAGTATGAGCATGGCGAGGATAAAGCCCCCCTGAGCGTATTGCTGCTGGTCCCGCTGGTGTTTGGTATATGGCGTCAAATATTTCTCAACATCATATCCCGCGTCACGTACAGTTTAACAAACCAGTGGCTGATACAAAGATGATCCATTTGGCTGATATAAACATGATCTCTTTCCGGATACGGGGCTGGAACCAGCGTTTACGAAGCTCCTTCGAGGCGTTACGGATGAGATTATGGAAATTGGGCGACTGCCCATTCCTTTCTTGGGGTGAGGATCCAGTGAAGGAAAAAGACTGGACCAAGATTTTGCTCTACATTGGTAAGCATCGTATACTTTACATCATGTTCAATGGGTTAGACTGACTTCTGCCTCGTTTTAGACCTCTCAAAGCCCAATCAATCTAAGGAAGATACCTATTCTCACATGGAACATTATCTTTGGGAATTTTCCGAGACCTCTGGCGATGATATACAGAATCTCCACCATAGACTGTCTGCCCCTCCACGAGGTATGTGGGGTCGTGGAAACCCAGACATATCATTTTATGAAGTTTCATCGGATGAAAATGACCGACGCGCATTTGAATACGCCATGGTGAATTACGCAAAGTGCGTCTGAAACCTCACCCCCCTCACCTGAATTACTGCGTCTCAGACCATTATGTTCAAGGAATTCCTTATCTCGCAAGATCAATCACTAACGTTGCCATTCCGGCTTAATATAGGACTTTAGATCAACAAGTCATCCTAGGATTTCAATCATCCCCATGGTCGGGTCTTTCAGCAGGAGGCCACATCTGGGCCCCTCATAATCATCTAGCTGGTGATGATATAAGCGCCCAAAATTTCGTTTCAATATTCATGTGCGAGAGGGAGGGAGCAAATCAAGAGTGGTATAATGACTTCGCTGAACGAGCCTAAACCCAATACGACCTCTTGGGTCATATCGTTGACTTGATACGAACGTTGACCAAGAGTATCGAGAACTACTATGTGGTTTTCGAGAAGGAAGATCCTTGGATGGCAGCAGATAAGCGGGAAAAGTCCAAGCGCATACCGCCAACTAATCTCAGGCCTAATGGAGAGGAAATGCCAACATCTGCCATGAAATGGTTCGGCCCGGGCTGATAGTGTTTAGGCATCTGCCTCTGGCATCTCAAAATCGATATACATTTCATTTCAAAAAAAGTTCCCCACTGGGGTTTCCCATACTAAAACCTAGCAGTTTTAACACCACAAATCTCCACATATTTATATGATAATTTATTTTCTTTAAAAAAAAATTAGTGTAAATCATTACCTAGGTACGCACAAGCTTCTTTGTAACGGCTTATCCCGTTACATAGGGTTATATAACCTGGATATATATAACACCTGTTTACCATCTGGCATAGATGATGAGAGTAACCTAGATACCTTTAAGTTCTTCTTTACTATAACCTCTGTCTTCTCTCTGTGTGTGGCTCCTATACTCCAAAGTCACCTAAATAGATTAATACTGATGTTACGTTGCAATGATAAGCTGCATGTATCGTCATGACTTGTTTCCTATGTAGGTTTCTCGGGGCTAAAGGCACCTCCGCCCAACAATACGTTGTTGCCCAAAATTGCGGCTCCTATCTAGCATATAGGCTTATTTGATAAATAAAGCTACACTTGATAGGTGAGACTCTCTATTTTCATCTTCACCAAGTATGGTTGGTGGTCCAATACCGAGTAACAACTGCCCCTTTTCGAAATGGGCCACTTGGGGCTTACGAGTTGATTTGGCCCACTACAAAATTTGCAGTATGAACCGAGGCTTAGAGGCTGCTGATATGCATATATAGACTTCATTGCTCGGAATAAATCACTCACGGGCTCATAGGCATCAAGGCATTACTCTCATTTATTGCAAAGGAAATATTCTCAAGATGCATCTACTCCCATACGTTTTACCCTTTGGTCTTGCTGCTGCTGCATCAACAAATCCCACTGATGAAGATGATGGGGCATTGCTTGCCTTTTAATTTGGAGCATCTCTCTTATAAGACACATATAGCATAAAGCCGCGAGGAGAATGAACGAGCCCATTAGATGAGAGTCAATAATTGGTTGAAAGATGAGAGGACGTGCCTTCAAAAATTCCAACTGTAAGCGGAAATTGCTAGTTTCTGAATAATTTACTAGCTTCAGATTTATACAGAATGGTGCCGTACACCCTTGAAGCGTGTGTTTGGCGTGCTATTGTCACTTGTCCCATGCTCCCCGGATTTTCCCAATAGGCTCCCTTCTTCTTTATCAAATACCATCTCGATGTGCCTATCTGTCGGCCTGAGCACGACTATTATTTTCAGGGGCCTTGTCGTTTCAATACCCGTGCTTGTGCCATGCATCGACGATATGTTAGTAATATCCGAGTGAAAGGCGAGTGCAACCAGATCTATCACATTCCTCCATTGTGAGATAAATACACCTGAGATGCAAAGCGAATAAAGAACATGAGTCACTGCAATCGCGACGTAGCATAGGAGGATGATGATGGAAACCAGTGTTGAAGTAATGATGCCTGTCGTTCCACGAAGGCCGTAGGCAAAGCCTGTAACCGCGGTTTGGAACGTCAGGCGGTGGTATTGAGAATCCGATGGAGGTGCTGTAAAAAGTTGTCCATCGTTTATTTGCAGTACTTGGTTAATGTTGGTGATTGTGCCTTGGAAGGTTGCATCAGCGCCAACACGAGCCATACGATCTGCTATGAGAACAGCGATAATGGCTTCAATTTTATCTGGCATATACTGGCTTTCTCCATCAGACGAAGTTGCTGCGGCTAACAGAATGTCAAAAGGGCTAGAGGAGGTGTTCTGCGCCGTGATGAGAGACGGATTGACGAGCGAGGCCCAAGCTGGGCTAATCTTCACATGGCGGCCATGATACCGACCAGTAGAATCATCCTGCGGTTGGTACCAGTTGGGTGGTACGCCGTTGACAATGTACGGGAGTCCAAGAAAAGATGACTCGATGGTCACATTTGCCCACTGCGCATCAATAGTGCAAGCATAAGTGCTTCTGTCAAGGGTTTGCTCGATAATGGGAGTGACTAGGGCACCAACAGATGCGCGTATGAGCTCTTGGCCGGACAGATCAACCCATGTGATAGATGATGCAGCTGACTCAAAGCTGACATTGGTCAAGTTCACCGGATGTTCAACCAGAGTGGGTTGGTCTGTCCCGCTCGCAAGCGTTGGAAATTCGGGTGTAGCTGTGGAGCTTGCACCGTTACAAGCAACATAGACAGCAGGTTGGAGGGCATCAACCGACCAAGTGATATCCTTGTAGGTGCAAAAATTCTGTTCCCTGATGCTGCCTCCTCCAGAATAACATCGAGCGCCATTCGCCCTTAACCAGATCTGTCGAATTGTGTTCACTACGTTGGCTATCGCGGCGGGTTGTACAGTCGCAGTTGTAAACTCTGGCTGGTAGAGCGAAAAAGGACCTCGAAACCGCGAATTCAGCGTTCTGATGGAGACTTTACCTGGGATTTGGACGCTCTCTGGCATTGCACGGATATTACCAAGCGCTTCATGCCCCCAGTACTTGAAAAGGTTATTAGCAAGAGAGGTCCAGGTGCCCAGACTGCCGCATGTTTCCGGTGAGTTGGTACAGTTTTCATTTCCTGTCAATGATAGAGTTGAAGGCCACAGTTCCTGGGCGGTCGCGTTTAGCCAGAAAGAAGTCTCGCCTGCTGGCCAGTCACCCAAGGTGGGTTTAATTGCGGTCGCCGAGGATGGACCAATGCCCACTCCGAGAAGAGTGCAGATGATGATTGCTGGAATAATATAATATTTTCGTTTGAACGTAGCGCAAGACGTAGCGCGGAATTCCTTAGACCAAAGATAGGAGATTTGATTAAACTGAAGTCCGGCGGCGATCGCACCGAAAGGTAATCCCTCGCCAAAGACAAGCTGCTTAACGGTCTCCGAGAAGAGTATTTGCCCCAAGGACGAAAGAATCAACAGTTCGTGCAATTTAGCGGCAAATTGTAACGCAAGTAGCTTCTCCGTATCCTGGCCGCTCGTCCCAGTGAGCTCTTTGCCTACCCACAACCCAGCCGTATTAAGAGCGGCAATGACCACTGCCGATGCTATCGCCAGTAAGTGGTGGGCGGTAGCAAGCCAAGCCGACCAAGGTGCTTGGTTCATTAGCGATTTCATATTATCAAAGCCCTGCTTCCTTGGGTATGCCGGCCATTGCATTTTCTGAAAGCTTTGCTTCAGAAGCGTGATCTTCCGCCATCTGTTCCTCCGTCCATTTCTCTGCCTAGTTTCAGGCTTCTTTGCCTGTGATTGAACCGCAACGTTCGCATAGCTGGCGCTGTGTAATGGGGCTTGTTTTCGAGCGCTACTTCGGGTCAAGCTTGAGCTAATATCCTTATGAGAAGAGTAATTATCTTGAAGATATCAAAACTTTACCTTTTGCCACTAGTAGTGTTGTCGGAAGCTGCATCAGCCTCGCTGTATGCCCTCTTCGCCTGTATAACTGGACCGGAGGGAGGAAGATTTCGGTGTCGGTCCATCAAGAAATTGATGGATAACGGTATAAGCTCCCGTGAAGTCACTATTTTTTTATTGAGAAAAAAAAGGTTTGCAGTCAAGGGCAGCTGTTCGCCCCTTTTTACGCTGGTTGTGAGGACGGCTCGCCTGGTTGTTGGAGCAGATTTGGCCCCTTAAACGCGATGGAAAGGCAGAGACCACATAGTCACTACGAAGATAATATAACAGAGTCTGCCTTCTCGATGCCATGACCGAGGCTTCATTGGTCGATGTGCAGGATATTTCTGCCTCGGCGCTTAGCCACTCTGCACTGCCTAGGAAATTCCAGTGCTAAATTGGGTCTAAAAATGGGAGGAGGAAGGGGGGGGGGGAAGCGAAACCAAACTTGATCATACATGACATGACTCGCATCACATAAGTATATGATATTAGATCGTGACAGAAGGAAAGCAGCGAATAGGAGTCTAATTTCACACTGCGAAATCATTATCTGAATCATTTTCTAAATTCAAAAAGTCTCTTTACATATTTAAAACGGGGCATCACCCCTCCAGGTGAAGAAGATTCAGGTGCCGCCGCTCAATATGTGATCGGAAATGGAGCACTTCATCCTCCCATCCCATCAACACAATAATAATGTCTTCCCAGTCTTGCACCTCTGGTCTAGATGTTTCGGGTCCATTAATCTTCTGCAACGACATCATAGCACGTTGGAAATGGCTATACAAGGAGGTGATTAGGAGCAACAGAAATAAGTAGTAATAATAAAATAGAAATGGGTAGTATGATACAGCGGGTACAATCCAATCATTCAAACATCGACACGACGACAGCAAACGCCGCGAAGAGAATTGCAAGGTCGGGCCAGGCCCTAGTGACATCTATGAAGGTCAAGGTCATTAAAATAAAGTATAGGCAATGCTCGTGTCTTTGTCCTTTATGCGTTTTTTCTTTCTGTGCAATGCGCAACCATAACTCCAGTCCTTCACGCCTTTGTTCCGCGCTTCTCGAACTGCACGAAAGACTTGCCAAGAGGCTTGGAGAACAGGGACTATCGAGTGAGTTAGTACAGGCATAGCGAAAAGATACCGCGGGGATAACATACCGAATAATCAGTCTCGGGAATTCCGTTGTTGCCGGGAGTACTGGTGAACTTGAACTGCTTCACCAAGGCGACGAGAATCGTACCGAGCTGCACATAGGCAAACTGCTCACCAATGCAGCGATGGCGTCCAGCACCAAATGGAAGGTAAGGGCTGTTAGTACCCTTAGTAACAAGACCGTATCCGTAATCGATCTTCTCCTCGTCCTCATCCTCTTTCTCAGCAGGAGCCTCGTCCCAACGGTGAGGCTTCCAGTTCAGAGGATCGGGGAAGAACTCCTCCGATCGTGCAGAGACACCGGGGGAAGAGAGGACGTTGTGAGTAGTCGGGATGACGTAGGGAGTTCCCTCGACAGGCATGGGGTTCTTGACAGCGCGAATGATAGAGTGAATCGGGGCGTGGATGCGGAGAGTCTCCTTGATGACCTTGGAGTGGAGATCCAGCTTCTGCAGGTTCTCCCAGGTAAGAGGCTCGTCGCCAAGAACACGGATCTGCTCTTGGTACAGCTCCTCGGTGATCTCGGGGCAGGTGGCGAGGCGCAGGACGATCCAGGCGGCGGTCGAAGAAGAAGAGTGCTGTCCAGCCATCAGGAGGGCAATCATCATGTGTGCAATCTCCTTGTCCGGGATAGGGGTGCCATTCTTGTAAGTGCACGACATGAGGTTCCAAACCATATCCTCCGAATCCTTCTTGCCACCGTCCTCGCGGCGCTTGCGGATGATGTCAATGTAGGTCTCGGTCAGCTTGCGCTGCGCAGCGTCGCGGCGGCGGTTGTGAGGCAGCGGGGCCCAGGGAAGCATGAAGTTAATGGGGGCGAATCCCATATCCAGATCGTGGTACATTTCGGCGAAGGTGGAGTTGAATCGGTCGCGGACTTCCTTTCCTTGGAGCGAGCGCGAGGCAGTGTAGATGGTGATTTCGGAGATAATCTTCGAGACGTCAAATGTTCCCTTGTTGTCCTGGAAGGCGGGAGAGCTCTCGACGAAGTCATTGACTTCGTTGGTGATGAGGGTAACGTAGGAGCGAAGCGCGTCGGAGGTGAGGCCGAATTTCACGAACTATTTGCAAAGATTCCGGTTAGCTGAGGAGTTCATAGAGTACTGTGCCTTTTGAAGTATCTCGATCATCTTACCTTCTTTTGTTCCATCAGCTTCGCGTTAGGACAATCGTAGACAACATCGTGGCCAAAAACGGGGGTGGTGAGTGGCGAGTAAACCTCCTCGGCGCAAACATCGCGCAGTTTTCCGTTCAGAATGAAGTCGTTACCCTTGGTACCCAAGTAGACAGTGGTCTTCTTGCCCAGGAGGACAAATGTAAAGATATCGCCATACTGTGGGGTGGAAGGAGCCGGGGGTTAGCGACAATTGAAACAATTTCCAATTAGGGGGGAGAAAGGATTGCGCGGCAAACAAACCTTTGCGCGAGAGGACTGGAAGAACTTGTAAGGTTCCATGCCATAGCTGATGGTGCTCCCAACGAAGGGGAACCAGTGGAAAACCAGAGGGGGCTCATGAGGGCTCTTGAACAGCAATTGACGAAGGACATTAACCACGACGGAGAGGGCAATGAAAGACAATGCGCCGACTGCCACGATGGTGTAGATGGACTGGTCGGAGCAATGCTCGCAAAACGAGTCGAGAATAGTTGCGAAGAGACCCATGGCGATGTGTAGGATGCTCAATGGGGGGTGTTGACGAACGGGGGGGACTCTTCAAGGAGGAAGAGGTGGGAAGGGGGGGGAAGATCGCAAGAATAATAATCTTCACTGTCATTCGGCGAAAGGCTGGACCCGCCCCCTGGTTCCCGCCCATTTCAAGTTTTTTATTATTTTATTTGGACTCCTATTTTTTTGGGCTTAATTCTCGTTTAAAATGAACAAGGCTTTAATTGGCTGGAATCTATAACGTATGATTTTCACTGGTCCTTGAGGCAGATAAAAGCCCGGAGTCCCGGAATTTCTTTTGAATTGGCATCAAGGGAGTTGATGCCTCACGCCACTTCGGCCACTTCGGGGGTGTTGTCCGCCGGTACCTGACGATCGCACGATATCATCTAAGAATGGAAAAAAAAGAAAAACGTATGATTCCGACGCCATCTACCTATACATTGAAGTTCCTTTTTACTCACACAGCCACTGTGCAAGCCCAACGCATGATTTCCCCCTTGGACAATTAAATGAAACAAGAAAATACTAGAAAAACAGAATTGGAACACGACATTCAGATCCACCGAAGCAATCTTCGATCCCAGATCTACTCTTCATACAATGCGGGATCTCCTCGAGCACCGAGGTTAGCGAAGTCTCGAGGGCCGCTATTGTCTCCAGGAGAAGGTTCTCGACGAGAGACTTTCGCCGGACGGTTGTGAACACGCTTCCCAGCCTCATTCTTGCGGAATACCTTGATCGGGGCAGCGCCATCCTCAACATGTTCACTGAACTCAGCCGCATTCACGCTACTTAACAAAGTGCGTTCACGTTCAACCTTGCGCTTGGAGAAGTCCAGCTTACCGAGTGCGCCCGTCAGTCCATCGGTACTATCGTTGACGCTGAGGGGCTTCTCATTAAGCCACGGGTGTTCGAGACAGTCGTCGACGCTGATTCGTTTCTCGACATCGACAGTAAGCATTCGGTCGATCAGGTCCAATGCTGGGTCTCCCACGGAGTCCCAGTATGGTGATGGGTAGTCGAATCGACCCATCTTGATCTGTTGGGCCAGTGTCCACGGATTCTGTGGCGTATACAGTTCATCCGAGAAGGGCGGGAACCCGCAGAGACAAATATAAAGAACCACTCCCAAGGACCAGACGTCCACGGCTTTGGTATAGCGTCGCTGTTTTGTCTCCTGTAGGATCTCGGGTGCCACATCTACACAATTAGTTTCTTTTCAAAAGGCTCACAGTTGGGGGTCGTAAATAATAACTTACAACTTGGTGTACCACACCTGCGTATCCCATATTAGCACATGTACAAGCAAAACGAGATGAAAAGGGATGAATAGAAAGCTTCACACTTACAAGGTGGTTGTGAATGAATCCTCGCCGATGATCTTCGCAAGTCCAAAATCACCCAACTTGACAGTCATTTTCTTGTCTGCAAGAAGGATGTTCTCTGGCTTGATATCGCGATGAACGATTCCTCGGTCATGCTGAAAATGTATGTTAGCATCAGCCTTGTCGTTTCCGCGTGATACAGCATCTAGATACCAAGTATTTCAAGCCCTCAAGGAGTTGGCGGAAGAGATGGCGGGTCTCGGCCTCGGTCAGTTTCTGCTTGTTGACAATCAGGTTGAACAGCTCGCCTTCGGGAGCAAGTTCCAGAACGAGATGAGCAGCATCGGCTTCATCGAATGTATCCTTCAGACAGAGCAGATTCGGATGATTGACACCCATCAAGAGAGCAATTTCTTGTTGTAATGCCTCGCCTTGGTTCTTCTGGGAGTCACCGGGGCGCTTTTCAAACTTTTTGACGGCAAACTGCTTTCCAGTAGCCCGCTCAACACAGAGGTAAACAGTCGCAAAATGGCCCTTTCCAAGTTGTTGTAGGATCCGGTATTGTTGGCGGAATCCATGCGTGTCTCGCGTACGAGGGTAGCGAAAGAC